ATGTGAGACTTCAAGCCTTCATTGTCTTCTCAGAGTACATCATACATACATTTCTTTCAGTAACAAAAACCATGACTCTGTTCACAAATACATAAATATTCACAACATGACAACAGAAATTATCAACTCACCATTTATTGATCGGCCTCAGATCAATTTACTAGCTTCATTCAAGCCAAAGTGATCAAATTCCAGTTATTAATCAAATTCATTTCATAAAAGACATTACCCCAATGCCTATTATGAAAGAACATTTCCAGGTGAGTTTAGGCTAAAAAGTTATGTTTCATTGTTACCGTAGTACTCTTAGGTCCATCTAATTCAGAACCACAGCAGCAAACCTTATTATTAGATGTAATCTTAAGAGTTATTACCACTATCATTATGACATCACTAAACACCTTATGGCAATACATCAACTACAAAAAAGCAGATTTAAAGCTCCAACCAATGGACAAATGACATTTTTTAAAGCTCAAGTAAGCCTTTCCTATTAACACTTATAACACACTTTAAAAATATAATATTCTGTCTCAAAATGTTTTAAGGATTGAATATGTTAATAGCTTTAAAATGACTTATAAAAAGGAACATATTCTGGTACAGAATAGAGGACACAGAAACCAATCCACAAAACTACAACTACCTTATATTTGATAAAGGGGCTAAAAGCATGCAATGGAGGAAGGATAGCATCTTCAACAAATGGTGCTGGGAAAACTGGAAATCCATATGCAACAAAATGAAACTGAATCCCTTTCTCTCGCCATGCACAAAAGTTAATTCAAAATGGATCAAGGAGCTTGATATCAAATCAGAGACACGCCGTCTGATAGAAGAAAAAGTTGGCTACAATCTACATACTGTGGGGTCGGGCTCCAAATTCCTCAATAGGACACCCATAGCACAAAAGTTAATAACTAGAATCAACAAATGGGACTTACTCAAACTAAAAAGTTTTTTCTCAGCAAAAGATACAATAAGAGAGGTAAATAGAGAGCCTACATCCTGGGAACAAATCTTTACTCCTCACACTTCAGATAGAGCCCTAATATCCAGAGTATACAAAGAACTCAAAAAATTAGACAATAAGAGAACAAACAACCCAATCAACAAATGGGCCAAGGACCTGAACAGACACTTCTCAGAGGAGGACATACAATCAATCAACAAGTACATGAAAAAATGCTCACCATCTCTAGCAGTCAGAGAAATGCAAATCAAAACCACCCTAAGATACCATCTCACTCCAGTAAGATTGGCAGCCATTACGAAGTCAAACAACAACAAGTGCTGGCGAGGATGTGGGGAAAAGGGTACACTTGTACATTGCTGGTGGGACTGCAAATTGGTGCAGCCAATTTGGAAAGCAGTATGGAGATTTCTTGGAAAGCTGGGAATGGAGCCACCATTTGACCCAGCTATTCCCCTTCTCGGTCTATTCCCTAAAGACCTAAAAAGAGCATGCTACAGGGACACTGCTACATCGATGTTCATAGCAGCACAATTCACAATAGCTAGACTGTGGAACCAACCCAGATGCCCTTCAATAGACGAATGGATTAAAAAAATGTGGCATTTATACACAATGGAGTATTACTCTGCATTAAAAAATGACAAAATCATAGAATTTGCAGGGAAATGGATGGCATTAGAGCAGATTATGCTAAGTGAAGCTAGCCAATCCCTAAAAAACAAATGCCAAATGTCTTCTTTGATATAAGGAGAGTAACTAAGAACAGAGTAGGGTCGAAGAGCATGAGAAGAAGATTAACATTAAACAGGGATGAGAGGTGGGAGGGAAAGGGAGAGAGAAGGGAAAGTGCATGGAAATGGAAGGAGACCCTCAGAGTTATACAAAAGTACATACAAGAGGAAGTGAGGGGAAGGGGAAAAATAATATAAGGGGGACAAACGAATGTCAGTAGAGGGGGCAGAGAGAGAAGAGGGGAGGGGAGGGGAGGGGGGATAGTAGAGGATAGGAAAGGCAGCAGAATACAACAGACACTAGTATGGCAATATGTAAATCAATGGATGTGTAACTGATGTGATTCTGCAATCTGTATATGGGGTAAAAATGGGAGCTCATAACCCACTTGAATCAAATTGTGAAATATGATATATCAAGAACTATGTAATGTTTTGAACAGCCAACAATAAAAAATTAAAAAAAAAAAAGAAAAGAAAAGAAAAATATCTAGGTTAAAGAATAAAAAAAAAGGAACATATTCAATATCACTAGATGTTAATAAGTACTCAAAATAGCACCATATCATGCTAGATTTCAAAAACCTAAGAGAAATACATCTATCCTTCATCCACATTTGAAATTAGTATAAATTTTGAACAACAGAGTAAATTCAAATATAGTCATTGAAATGCACAAAAGATATAACCACTGCTACTTAAAATTAGCCTTCTAGTCATATTTGTCAACAGAAAAAAAAAAAGGATGGTTTTTATGTGATCTTAGTATGGAAACATAAGAAAATATTCATTTTGTTTTATAACATGGTTACTCCATAAAACTGATAAACTATGGGTAAAGCCAAAACAAAATTAAAACAAAGGCCAAAAGTTCAGTACTTTCCAAACCACAATTAGTATTCCTATTTGTTCTTTTACAGTCATTTCCTTAAAAAGAAAGTTCCCTCCATTTAGAAAACTGGTTCTGTATTCCTTTGGTTTTCCTGTTAGTCTAATTATTTGTGTAAACAAACCAATTTCAGGATACCTAGAATTAACCCACATATTGAGAAAGACTCATTTTAATACCAGAAATTATTTACTTATCACTGTCTTTCACAGTGGCCCTCAGGACCCAATAGATTGCTGATAAATTCATAAGACTTGTTCCCTTTGTTTTCAGATAAGCCCTAAAACTGCTCAAGTTAGTCAAGATATATTGAACAGTATTTCAAAAATATAAATTTTCTTCGGATTCTCAGAAAAAAAAAAAAAAGATATCCACATCAATCAACCCAGAAGTCATAATCTTGACTTTTACTGTCTGCTCAATTGATAAAAACCAAAAGTTGTTCATGTAAGGTATAAATTTTAAAAACTAATTTTAATCAATTTCAAGTGTATATGTTTGCTCAGGATAAGAATAAACAAACAATAATTTCACTAATTCTGTAAAAATAATCCATTCCCAGCATATAGCTGAAAACATTTTTCATTAGAAAGACAATGTTATGATTTACCAACAGTTTATCACTGTCAAAGCTGAGATAAATGCTTTTGTAAATATGTACTGCCCAAATTTCTGAAATTTGGATAATAATTCTCTTTCACTAAATTCTATGCCATAGTAAATGTCTAGAGACTGCAATATAACATCAGTCCTTCATTACTTAACTTCTAAAACAGTAAGATGTTTTCTTAATAGAAAACAATGGGAAATTGATACAACGCTTGTGTGATATACCTTCAAACAACCATCATTATTCACAAATACATTTTAAGAGGTTAGGTTACAAAGACATTAGAGATGACATCTGACACATGTGGACCCTAGAGATAGTGAAATCTCTTCTTCATCACTCAAATCACTTAGATGTCAGGATTTGTGAATACTTGGATAAGCATCAGAAACCTCTCAACTACTGTCTTAAGACAAATTGCATACATTTTAGAAAAAATCTCCTACATATATTGATGCTGTTTGTTTTTATTGAAGTCACGCTAACATTAAAAAAAAAAGTAGGTCTAAATTTAAGAAAATGATTTCAAATATAACTCTGGCTTTTTAAAAATGCATGTTATATACCTAAATTTTTAAAAATTACATCCGAAATACCTAAACTATCACAGAACCGCATTAAACTTCAATAGCAATGTACCTGATTTTTTAACAGCATTAAATATTATCATACAAAGACCTCTCTAAATGCTGCTTTGCTTTATGGTTTTGTAAATAATTTCTCTGAAAATGTATACAATAAATATGCCTCTAAGTTACCCAAGTCAAGCTCAAACGCTATGTGGAACAAGGTTACTTAACAAGAGTCCCAGAACCACCTGAATCAGGAGGAGAAATTTTGTGTATGTATATATGGCCTTTTCTTTTTTTCTGGACAAAAAGTCCGTTAAACTTTCAGCTTTTCAAAGGGGTTCATAACTCCGTTAAGATTAAAGTGCCTGAAGGGACTGTCATCGTTAGATAACTTGTCACAGGCAAACCAAGCTTTATTTTTTATGCCAAATTAGGGAAGGGTTTATTCTAATTTAGGGGCTCCGATACAATTTCTGGGTAATGCCAGCATGAAAAGGCTGTCGGATCCAAACAGCCCCCTACACCCACGGAACGCACAAAACCAAGGGGCCTTAAGAGTCAAACCCATTAACAGCCCTACAGCTCAAACATCCACTGGATCTTGCAGGAAGCGCCCTCCCCTTTCACCAGAGGGGGCTGCGGGCGGCGACTAGGTTCTTTGCAGGGGTTGAAATCCCCTCGGGGGTCGCTCGCCACGCCCACAGCACCAACAGCCTCCTCCCGCCCCAAAGGCGCCCCCTCAAGTAGCTGCTAGATGCGTGGGTACAGCAGAGCCGCCCGCGCCCCCGGCCGCCGCAACACGGTCGCAGCGACCTTCCAGTCCCGGTCCCTCTGAGCGGGGAGCAAGCCCCGTTATCACGCTGGTCACACAGCCCACGAGGGAACGGGAGGAGGAAAGCGGGACAAAAGAGCCCAACCCGAGGGGCCCAGGCGAGCTGGAAGTTGAGGATGGGGGCTGCGGCCCGAGAAGGCGCGATGCGGACTCGCGGCAGCGGCGGGGATGGTCTGCCGAGATGCGGGGCTATGGCCCGCCAGATGTCAGCCCGCAGGGCCAGGAGCAGACAGCCGGAGGAAACGCGGAGGGCGGGCGCGGGCACGCGCCAGCGTCGGGCAGGCGGCCGGGGGAAGGCCACAGCAGGGAGGGGAGCGGCGGCGGGTCCCGAGGCACCGTAGGCTGCTGCGACCCCCACCCCACCCAGCCAGGGGCTGTGCCCTTCCTTACCCGCCGGGAAGCTATGGGCCCCGCCAGGGCTGTCCTGGCCGCTGGCTTCGGGGGCCAGGAAACGGCCCCACATCGCGGGCGTGTGGGCCAGGGGCTTCCTACACCCTGCGTCCGTCCTTTCCAGCTTTCGCCTCCTGCTTCTTCAGGGGCGGAAACTTGTGCCGAACCTGGGCCGCGGCGGCTCCGGCTGTAGGGTGGGCTGGCGGCTTAACGGCTGCTCAGCGACGGGCAGGGACCACAGGGGCCAGATTCGCCGCAGTGGCGGCAGCTGCCATGGCCAAGCCGGTTGGGCTGAGGCCGGGGCCGGGGAAGCCGCGGCTCCGCGGTGACGGCAGCTCGATCCCCGGCTGCGCCTAGGCTCAAAGGCTCTCAACGAAGTTGCAGCTGCGGATTCTCTCCGCCCCCTCCGCCCGCTGAGCCTGAGCCAGGCCCAGGCCGGAGCTGGGGGGGGCGGGGCCTGGTAGGGGCGGGGCCAAGGGGACTTACTTAAGGCGTGCGTGGCGTGGGGCGGGTTCTGCAAACAGGCGGGCGCCCTTCCTCGGCTTTGCGTTTTCTGCCGCAAATAGCAGGTCCCGCAGCTCATCCTTAACCCGTCTTCTCAGTCTCGGTTCACTGCCAGACGACTGGAGGGCCTTAAATTGGTCCCGGGCTCTTATCTTGTAATCCACGGCCCCTCCCTTGGGTAATGTTTCACGCCCCTCTCCTACCCTTCTGAGAGACGTGGTCCCGCCCTTGCATCACCTCGGTTGGTGATTTAATTTAATAAGGGAAAAAGAGATATAAGACAGGTATCAAAACATCTACCACACAGGAATATATGTGAAAAAGGGTAGGGAAGTTGAAAAGGACCTGAGGGTAATTAGAATCAGGAAATGAATTTCAAGGGGAAGCGTAATGATAAACTAGAAGCCCAGTATTTCAGATAAGCAATTGAGTCAAAACGGCACCTAAGTATCAATGATAGAACCTTCCTTCTTGCCACCTACACCCTAGCATCTGCCTGCTCCTGATCAGTTTTCACCTTTTTCCTGAACTGTTCCTAAGGAAGGACCAAAAAATGAAGTATTCTATTATTTTAAAGTCTTCTCATTGAAAATATGATGATCCTACCAGTATTTAGGTACAGAATAGTTCATTTGAGTTATACTGATCGAGCATCACAGTAAGAGGCCCTTTTTGCCTTGGGGGCAATCAATCAGTGGTAAACCTGGATCCAAGTCCCTACCTCCAGAGGCTTTGAGTCCAGGACTGCTTTTCCTGTTTGAAAGTTTGCTAGCAAAGTCCTCATATTTGTAGTTTTTTCTTAAAGACGCTGCAATTGGGAAGTACCGCTTAAAACTTAATAAAGGTCAAATTACCTTTACGTGTGTATCCTCTTACCACATCTGTGTTGCAGTTTATCTGATTGCCAGAGTACATTTAGTCTTCCTCCAGTAAACTTCCAAATCATGAGATGTTGGCCAAGGGCCAAATGTTTTTGATGATAGAAAGTGACAGAAACTAGAAAGAAAAAAAAAAAAAAGAATGTAGTTGTTTCATTTTTCTGATTAAAATATGTATTAGCTCACTTAATATGACACTTGAATGAGATAGGTAGTTACTAACACTATATCAAGTGTACGTTTTTTTCATGGTGTATAGTTAACATAGTCATTGGGCACAGTGTTTATTAAATACCAAACTTTTTGATGCCGTTCGAAGAAATGTATGAAATATTACAGATATCTTAATCCTTTGTGAGTTTAAAATACATTCGTTTGTTAATTCAAAAATTGCCAATTTCCACTCAATTCTAAACAGAGAAAAATCATTCAAGTTTTCTACATGTTTTATCAATGTGAAGGACGTTACTACACACAAAGTACATGTGAATCTGAGGCTACATAAAGTATGTCAATACCTATTACAGAGTAAGAGCAAAAAGTAAAAACATGTTACTTTTGTGGCACTTAGCAACGAAGATGAAATTGTTGTATTTCTATGATTAAACTGGGGGGATAAAGAGCTAATGCAATTAAGGTCATTGAAATAGTAAGTAAGAATATTTATATAGATGAAGTGATCTGTAATTAGAAATTCATTTCAATCATATGAATTCTGAGTACTGAAATGTGCTTTCCCCACATCTATGCATCATGTATATTTGGAAAGATTCATGCTTCTCAGAATTCAATGATTAAAATTTATTATAGTACAAGATAGATAACCTAAGGACTACTATTACTAGCCCTGATATTGTAAACTGGCATATATTTTGTTGTGATATTATTTTAAGACTACAAGGAGAATATTACAAGCAAAGATTATTATTGTTGGAACTCAATCTTGGTAACAGTTCTACTAAGCAGAAGTAATACAAGTGATGAAAATAATATATATTTATGTGTATACCTACATATATGTGATTTATATAAAACTGAATATTTGTGTATATCTACATATTTATAAGTATGGTTGCTCAGTTGAAATTTAAGTACTTAATGTTTTGGGAGGAGACTTTTTTAAAGACAGAAACTAGATTGCAAGAAGAAAATAATACTAAAAACACCATATCTAATATCAAACTATATTAAACACTCTTTAAAATGTTGCACAAAAAAACATTATTTTAAAGTGAAAAATCATTCATAACTCTTAAATTTACATTTTAATCTCTGGTCTGATTCAATTGAATTATCTTATATTTATTTTTCTGATTCAAATTTATTAGATTGGGCAAACAACAACCAGAGAGGCGTGACAATGCACAGTGGCAACATTTTAAAAACAGAAGAAAATCCCATGCATAATATGGGAAAATCTCAAGAAACTTTTATATTTTTAACAATATAAAAGATCAAAAATACAACCAGAGAAATAAAAATTTGTGCTCTATATGTGTGATATGAATTGTAATGCATTCTGTGTCATATATAACAAATTAAAATTAAAAGATAAAAGATCAAACAACTTCAAACAATATGTAGAAAAATTAAACCAAGCAATAACAATTGAAACAGTTTCTAAAGAATGGTTGCCACTACATAGAAAAATTTTATGAAAGGATTATGAAAAATTCCAACAACTAGATAATTCAGGTATATAAGTACAATGATTTACAACCTTTTCCAGATCAGAAAAAAGTGACATGTAACCCCAATTTATTTGGAGTTTTTATAATCCCAAATAATCATAATAATGAAAAAATAAAACTAAGAACACTTTTTTGAAGATGGATTTGAAAATATTAATTGAATTCCTGGCAAATACAATTTAGATATACAATAGTTATTAGGAGACAGGTAGGTTATTTAACCTATCTGGGGCTTAATTCCCTCATCTGTAATTTGGGATTATAACTCTGACTACCTCATAGGACTGTTATGGGATTAAATGAGTTAATATTTGTAAAATACATAGAACAGTACATCTGTGCACCTCTATTGGGATACAGATTACCATAAAATCAAGTAATGGAACTCTGTTAAATACCAATAAGAAAAAATAACAATTTTATAGACCAGATCAGTTGTAGATCATGTTTTCTAAACACGTATCAAAATAGAGTAAAGTACTTTTTAGAATCTTTTCCTGACCCTTCAGGGTTACTAATTAGTCTGGGGATTATGTGAAATAGTAAACTGTTCAGAAATCTTTCCCAAAGTGGGGAAAAGTTAATAGAAGTCTTCACTCTAGGTTGTATGCCAAACTCCCTGTGTGGATGTCTGGTTAGCTACTGGATTTGGTGTCCCTCCCAGTACTATCAAAATGAAGGGAGGAAAATTAGGGAAAATAGCTGGCTGGTAATGGCCAAGCCAAGAAGACAAGGACACCTCATCTCAAGACTCTGATTCGTATTAGATATAGAAAATGCATTTCATCTGTACCTTTGCCTCAAGAGTTAGATTGCAATTACCAATGAGAAAGTAGGTAAGATATGGAACATTAAAGCAGCCCGTCAGCAGATAGGAATTTGGGGTAGGAAAAGTAGAATTCAACCAGCACATGAACTTCAAAGTACCGTCAATATTTACTGGAACTGCTTAACTGATACACTTATCATAGAACTTGAGGTCACCAACTACTCAAACTCAGCCTATGAAAAGAAGTGAGCTCCCTTACAGTGAAAAGGACACAGCAATCTTGACAGTACATAAGGAGACAAATTCTTCCCTGCCTGCCTTCCTTTGAAGATACAGGAGAGGTCAAAAACCAAATCTTGTCGTCTCCACACTTATACGTACACACAAAGCCTCCTCTCTGACCAGCACTGATGGAGAACGGAACCGTTTAAAAACTGAAAAGTCCAAAATATTGTGGAATTAGATAGAGATGTACTCAGTGGAAAATGGGGTTATCGGTAGAATACAGTGGTAGTAGTTATTGAAGAAAATAGACCTTCAAATATATATGTTCAGTAACTTGTGACATTGCACTAAACCAGTTGCATATTTTATGTAATCTTCACTGTCATATACAGTTAATATTGACTCCAGTTTAGAGATTGTGAAAAAAGGACCGAGAGAAGTGAAATAAGGATATATGGGATGTAAAGAGCTTGACTTCAAATCTGATTCATGTGACTCCAAAGCCCATGCTTTTTCCATCATGCTCTTTAACATGTTGTAAATAAAAATTATAAAATTTTTCTTCAGATGCCATGTGGGAAGGAGTTCCTAATTCTAGAATGTAGTGTTTAAGGTTCAGCTAAGATTGGAAACTGTGACATTAATCTGTGGCACTATATGATTTTGTTTAGTTGCAGCTAGCAGTTTGAGTATGAAGGAGAAAGGAAGATAGATGAACAGGATTTTTGCAGTGTAGGCACTTAGGAAAGGGGGCAAAGTCCTTAACAATGTTAATAAGAGAAGGGTTGAAGTAGTGGGCACCTGAGGTGTAGCCTATCTAGAAAAAGTACTGAAATCAAGAGCAGGCTGAAATGCAAAAAGAAAGTGGAGAAAATAAGGGAGTAGACATTTCACTATCAAAGAATAAATATAATCAGTGTAAGGGAATGAACTTGGAATGATATGACTTTAGAGTGAGAGTAGGATGTTGAAGTTTAAGATTTTAGAGGTGATGCATAATATTGGACAAATTATATTGCTATCCAGTATTCGCATATTAATATGTAACAACAAATCCCATAATTTTATACAACTATGATGTACCAATAAAAATGTAGAATAAACAGAGTTCTTAAAAAAATATTTTAGAGATGGGGCAGTGGCAATATTGGAGGTATGTGTCTGAATTGCCTTTAAGAAAGACCTGATGTTCAAAGAGTGCAGTTGGCTAACAGCCTCTCTGCCTCAGCTTCTGAGTGGAGGCTGCACTATTCCCAGAGATCCCCAACCAATGACAGTATGGTGCAGAGAGAAGACTTGGCCATTCTTTCCAATGCCAAACCTTCTAATCC